AGCGAGATATGTCATTAGTGTATAAGGTACGAGCCTTTGCCCAAACCAAATAACATGTCTGGAATGGACGAAACAAAGGCATCAACTTGGAATCAATAGAATGCCACAAGATGCTACATAATTGAGCATCAATCTTTGCCCAAAGCGCTATCACCTTTTCATCTCCTTCGCTAGACTGTTTAACTAGATGATCTTGAACACCTTGACCTTTACACCACAACTCGACAGATGAAGCCCAAACTAAGTAGTTTGAACCTCCCATTAAAGGTTCTAAAGTAATCATAACACTAGAGCTTCCAGAACTCATGTTTTTAGACCCAAAAGCATCAATTCCCAAAGACATCGTTGCAAATTATTACCAAATTAGAGAAATAATCAAATGTAATCCATTGAAACAGAGTAAGGAACAACGAAACAGAACAACGAAATACTGTAGCAGTCGGAATAGTATTGTAGCTGCCGGAAAAATTCAAAGTGGTCGGAATGAAATAAAAATAGTAGGGGTAGGATCGGAATTACCATACGACCCAACTGTTCTGAAGAAACGTTTTCAAAAAATGGCCGGAAGTCCACTTTTGAAATCCCTATTCACGCCGGAAAAATATGAAAGTTGTCAGAATTTGGCCTAACCTGGATGGGTAGGCTCGGAATTGCAAGGGGAACAATTTGTCCTGAAGAGTCATCGCTAAAAAATGGCCGGAAGGTGGCCCACGTGACGTCGGAACTTCGCTGGAAAATTTTCTTCCGGTGGCGAGTGGAGGGTATTCTGATGGAGATTTTTGTATGGGTTGGTCGCCGGAGCCCGATCTACTTTGTGGTGGTGTTGGTTTTTGCACAACACTGACGAAAAGTGGCTTTTTTTTTACTTGCGGCAGACCTGCCGGAAAAAGGCTTCCGGTCAACTGATTTTCCTTCCCGGAGTCGCTGGAATTTAAGCACAGCGATAAATCTCTCACGATTGCTCTGATACCATGTGAGAAAGCACGGGAGAAAATATGATATATTGATATTGTGTGTCTAATGCAATATAAGATATGCTAATTTATAGCTACTCTATACAAAGGGCATACTACACATATTCCAATGTGGGACAACTACATATCTATATCTAACAGAGACCATTTGTCTCCTTTTTTTAAATCTTATAATGGAGGCACTTTGAAGATTGTGGTGTGAGATTTCGTTTAGGGATTAGGGATAGGTGTTGAAAAAAGCATAAGACTGAGAGCATCCTGCTTGATGTTTATAGACCCTATTATGATATTCTGTGAGACAGGCTAGATAACTTAGGTATGCGTTCAAAACTTGTAACAACCCAACGCATTAGTGATATTGTCCGTTTTGGGCCTAGGCCCGCACGACTTTAAAACGCGTCATCAGAGTCTTAAGACTTTTTAACCTATATACCCAATATTTCTCCCGTGTTTTGTCGATGTGGGATCCACCTAGGGTGCCACATACACCCCTTAGGAACTTAGCGTCCTCGCGCTGAGGTTTGCCCTACCATCTTTCAAGGTTTCATGTGGAGTGGCTGTGATATAGGCGTTTTTACCTATATACCCAATATTTCTCCCGTGTTTTGTCGATGTGGGATCCACCTAGGGTGTCACATTCACCCTTTAGGAACTTAGCGTCCTCGCGCTGAGGTTTGCCCTACCATCGTTCAAGGTTGCATGTGGAGTGGCTGTGATACCATATGTAACAGCCCAACCCACTAGTGATATTGTCCGCTTTGGGCGTAGGCTCGCATGGATTTAAAACGCATCACTACGGTCTAAGACTTGTTTATTTATATATCCAACATCTCTCCTGTGTTTTATCGATATAGGATTCTCCTGGAAGTCACATATTTATAAATAACAGCCTATCCACTAGTGATATTGTCCACTTTAGGCCTAGGCCTGCACGGCTTTAAAACACATCACTAGAGTCTAAGGCTTATTTACTTATTTACCCAGCATCTCTTCCGTGTTTTGTTGGTGTGAGATTCGCCTGGGATGTCACATAGCTCTCCCTTAGGGACTTTGCGTCCTTGTTGAGGTTGGCTCCACCACTTTCTCAAAGATGTGATATTCGCCTAATTCAGTTGACCGCTGAGGTTTGCCCCACCATCGGTCAACGAAGATGGTGAAAGAAAATCTTGGAGAACAGGGTGCAAATATGAGCAGAGACAATAAAGTTAGGGGATTTCTTCCATAGGTCTAAGTCTTAGGGGGCAAAGTTACCCGACCACTTGTGCTAGTAGGAAGTTGCTGGTATACGGTGGAATAGTCTAGGTACATGCAAGTTGGCCCAAGCACCATCGTTATAAAAGAGAAGATGTCATTTCACCTACAATATATTTGGAGTTGCCACTTGGCTGGAAGTTGTAGGATAAGGAGCTTTGACGACTTGTAATTGAGAAATTTGATCTGTACAGCTCTTAGAACCTTTAAAACTGGATCGGCCATTGAAAAAATCAGTTAACCTTCCCAACTCCAAATCATACTGATATGGGAATATGGTAGGATTTTTACCACATGCATTACAGAGTTGTTACGCTGATTTGAAATTCACTGCTGTTAGAAACAGTGAAAGATACACGAGTTGGAGACAACAAAAGTTTGGGACGTAAATGAATGCAGTAAGGGGAACAACTCTATTATGCAAAACAACTAATTTAGAAATGAAAGTAAGTGGATTGTGTTTGGGTAAGCTTATAAGTAAGTTGGTCAAACTAGCTTATAAATATTTTTGGATTATCTGCGCGTTTGATAATAATATTAGTACTTATAAGCCAAAATAAACCAAAAGCCATACATTGGACGCCCCCAACTTATAACTTTTCAACTTGTTAGCATTTTGATTTGACCAAGGTTTTTGCTAGTTTATCTGTAATATCTCTTGTGATTTCTGAAACTCCCTCTCAAAAACAAAATCCTTAACTTCTCCTCTATTCCATCTTTATCATTCGTCCTTCTCCTTGTAAAGATTGCTGTTAATTTTTAGTTTTTGTAAATAACTTTAGGTCTTTGTAACTAACTTAATTTTTATTTTGTAGTTTTTGTAAATGACTTTAAAAAAAGAATAATCTTTCCAAAAGTCATTCCTATAATATAAGGAGCTTATTTAGAGGAAAGGCAACAATTACCCTTCCCAGAAATATGCAAATTGAAAAAAGTATAAACAACCCTTCAAAAGNAAAATATATATATGAACCACCAGAAAGAAAGATCTTGTCCATAATCTGGAAACACAGTTCCTAATGAGCAAGTCAACCAACACTCAAACTTCAGTTCTTGAATAAATTTTACCCATTGAAAAAAGGGAGCCAGTTCTTGAAGAGAGCAATATCAATCGATTCCTTTAGGAGAGTTTCTGTCACTAATCTACATTTGTTCACATCTTTAATATTCAACTCACTGCCTTGCCATACTCTGGACAGCTTTACACCAACATTATAAACACCTGAATCTTATGGTGTTGCATTGGTTATGAAGTTTCATACGTTTGTCTCTCTGGCTGTTTTTGACTCGATATGAAAGTTTAATACTCTCTCCATTCCAATTTATGTGACACTATTTCCTTACTAGTCCATTCCAAAAAGAATGACACACTTCTATATTTGGAAATAATTTTTATATTTCCAATTTTACCTTGAGAAACTTTTACAATCATACAAATATTAAGACATGTAGAAGGCCACAAGTCAAAAGTTTTGTATCCACCCAAATTTCCGACATGTTTAAGACCACAAGTTTCAAAAGTGTTCATTTCTTTCTTAAACTCCGTGTCAGTTCAAACTATGTCACTTAAATTGGACCGGAGGGAGTATTAGAGATAGTAATAAGTAAAAATGAAGGGAATGGGTCATTCATCTTGTTATTAGGAAACATAAGTGTGAGATTGCCAGCTTTTCCATGCTCTCAGACTTGTTATGAAGGGGTTAGAATGTAACATTTTCATTTTTTTATAATCTTTTCACTTGTGACACAAGATTGAGCTAAAGCTATTTAGTCCGTTTAGGTGAAGAATTTAATATTTCCCACTCCCCTTTCTTCCTCCTTTCCTTGTTTCAACTTGCAAGTGTTAGTTCATCTGTGCATATGATGGCTTATCCTCTGCTGAATAGTGAACTTTATATATTATACGGATTTTGTATATTATCGTGCAATGGTATATATGATGCGTGCCGCGTTATATTCTTGATAACTACTTATTTTGCTTTTATATTGAGGGTAATAATCCTTTTCTCTCTGTCTTTGGCAGATGGTTTATGTCTTATCAATATATAACAAGAGAGAGAAGTATAATCGAATGACGATATATCCCTTTTTCTTCTTTATGCATGCTCAAAAAAATTACATTGCCATCTTAGGTGTATTTCTCATGGGTTTAAATTCATTCTTTTGTTCCTGCTTCATTGCTTCACAACTTATTCACATTCTTCAATTTCTTGTGCGAACTTGTGCACACCTTGACTAATCCAGTGGGTACTTGCTACCTTCCACCAGCCCATGTACTGGATAACTCTGCCACCAAGACTTAGATAGATGGAAAAAAATCACATAGTATTTTTTGTTTCTAACTGGGATTTCATTTGAACCTTGGTGTCTAAGGTTTGCACCCACTTCACCACTCCTTGGGTGCCATATTCACATTGTTCATTTACTTTAATCTCTTCTGATAGTCAGGTCACATTCTTCATACAGTTTAACAATTGACACATGAGGCACTCTTTTGGATATGTACTGGATGCTTTACCATGGATTTTGGTTTTGCAAATTCTAAATTCATTAGGTGGAGAAAGAGCTGATTAGAACTTAAGCTGACAAGGGAACAATCTAGATTTGCTATTCTTATGATTTAGTCTTGACAACTTCCTTTTGATTGACAATTTCTGGTTGGTGTCTTTTTTCCTTTCCTATGTGCAATTCACTTGTTTCACTTTTAGGATTATATTTCGCTGATGCTATAAACGTTTAAGAGATTCGGTCATTCAAATTATAATCTTGTTCCAGATGGCAGCTTTCAACATTCTGGAGGCACTTATTTGGAAAGAAAAGATCGAATCGGTGATTTCTCCCGTGTATAATGTCTTCTTCAGACGTACATTCTCTCCCTGCCTCCTCCTTTTTCCTAGATATGGATGGAGGTAGTAACATGTTGACAGTATGCAGCATCAAGAGTTAAAAGGTGCTAATGGTAATAAGTACGTCTCCTTCGAGTACAAATCTGGAATGGACAGTGGGAGGAACGGTTCCTCATCAGATCATGAAAGCCAATTGTGTGCATTTGCACTGCAATGTATAGAATTATTCTGCCGAATATGTGGATCCATTATTGTTTCTTTTCTTTCCTGTGTTTTTTCATTCGAAGTCATAACAATTCTTAACAACTTTTTCCTGATGAAGTAAGTTGCTGTATAAAAATAATACATCAGGAAGATGCAAATTACAGAAAGTAAAGTTACTATAGACATCATGACTGTTAAACTTAAAAAGAAAGATGACGTTAGCTCCGTAGGAGCTTCCTAAACAAAAGATAAGGAGCTAACAGAGTCTAGGATCTGTTCTGGGCAATTCCAAAACAGAGCGGTAAACCCAGCTAAAAAGAAAAAAAAGACATCTAGCTTTCAGCATCTGGGTAGAAGTTGATACTCCATCAAAGCATATGCTATTTTTCTCATTCCAAATACACCAAAAATAGCAAGCAGGGATCATTGACCAGATATTCCTGATGGCTTTGTCCTTTCCAAGTTTTACCTTCATAAGGTTTGTTGTTGTTGTTGGTTTGTCAACTTTCCAAGTGCACCAGCTTTGATAGGCCTCCTTCACGTCCAAAAAGAGAAAGGAGCATGTTCCATAGGTCGACTGCAACTGGGCAGATATCCTTCTACTATTTATTGTTTAATCTTGTCCTTCCTTATACTTTTTGGTTAATTTTACCCTTACCCTTTGGCAAAGTTTTAAATTTGCCCCTAATTTAACGGACTTGCCACGTGGAGGCTGCTAAGTGAAGGACCCAACCCATTGTAAAATAACCCAATCCCTTTCGGATAACCCTTGACCCGATCGGACCCATTCCCAATTAAAACACCATTAAAATTCTTCCCCCCTGAATAAACTAATCTTACCCTACAGTCTCCACCCTTGCAAATCGCCACCATCGTAGACTACCATACCTCTACCGTCTCCACCACTGTGTGCTGTCGCCGGAGAACTCCAAATTGGTCCATCTTACACCCCTCTTCTCCCCTCGTCTTCCTCTATGCAAATTTGAAACCCAAATGACTCAATTCTTTCCCCATCATGAATTTGCATAAAACAAAATAGCCCTGTCACCTCGGAGCTCTCTTAGCTTTGAATAGCTGAAACTTTCGTTCCGATGAGTCACTATGGCACTTTGCTTGCCAATATACGTATTCTAGTGCTTTGTTTGAACGAAAAGTATGGTTATTTTTCGAACTTTTATTTCCCTCTACTCTGGTGGTCTAAGGTAAATCTTGAGGTCATGAGTTGAGTTTTTAGCACATAAGGTTGGGTAAATTACTAACTCTTTCTCCCCATTCTTGTTTTCATTTTTTCTGGTTGATTACAACTAGGGTATAGTTTTAAATTCAGTTCTAGGGGTGTGCATTCGATTTATCGATTTGATTTTGACTCTTATCGATAATTAGTTATCGATTATCGATTTGTACATATGCTTATCATTATCATTTCAATAAGGTTTCGATTTTTTCGATTTCGATTTATTTTTTGGGGCTTATCGATTACGCCAATAAAAAAATTTGCGGGATTCCACGGAAAGTATATTGCTATAAATACGCCTAACTAATATGGACAAAAAGAAGCTAAAATAAGACGAACACCGTTTATAACATAAAAATTGTGTCAACAAGCACATGCAACGAAACTAAAGTGAGATCAAATGTATGCCACCAACACTCCAACGGTATTAAAAAAAAAATACATCATCACAGCTAATTCTATTTTCCATTAATTTGAACGTCATTCCCTTGAGCTTTAAATATGATTATTCCTTAAATGTGGTAGATGAAATAATAGGGTTAGGGACTTAGGGTAAAGAAAAGAGTATTATAGAATAAGAGATTTTTTTTAAAAGTATATCTTATCAAGACAAAATCGAAATCGATAACTCGATAAAGAAAATTTCGAAATCAAAATCGAAATCGATAAATCGATAATCCGATATAGATAAACCGATAACAAATAATCGATTCGATTTATCGATAAACCGATTCAAATGCACATCTATGCATGAGCATCAACAGGTGAACCAACAGTAATGGCGAGCAACAAAAAAGAATCTGAAACACCTTACAAATTCCATGCACCTTCAAAAATCAAACCAAACAACCACCGAGTTTGACCAACAATTTCGCCGGCGATTCCATTTGTCAATGATGGGCGATTTGACGATGCCGATAACGAAGAATATTTTGAAAGTAAATTGAAAGAGATTTTTAAGGAATGACTCATCATAATTATTGTCCTGGATCTTGTTTAAAAATAGAATTGATAATAAAGGAAGGTGAAAATGGTTTCAAAATAAAATTTCTCTAAGAATGGTTGTTGGCGGTTCCCCTGTGCATATGGTTTCTTCCAGTAATGGTGAGATTGGCTCTCTGATGTGATTTTAAGTTAAAAAATGTTTCGAAAAGTTATGGCAGAATACTAGCAATGTGACCCAATTGAATTTTCTTGAAGATGAAGAAGGTGCTTTCCTCTTTTTTTGAAGATGGCAATACTCGTCTGCTTCTTCCTTGTCCGGTAGTGACTCCATGTTTGGTACTCGGAGTATTATTAAAAGCGCTCACTTCTCGCTTTAAGCGCTGAAGCAACGCGAGGCGCTGTTCTATCGCTTTTTTGCTATAAAAGCGACTCACATAAAAAAAGCGCACGCTTTAACTGCTTAAGCGAGAAGCACCGCGATGGAAAAAGCGCAAAAAAGCGTGCTTAAGCGACGTGAAGGCATCTGCTAGGGTTTTTTAAAAAAAATTTGGCAAATAAACCGTCAGTTGCCAAATAAACATACGCTCTTTTGCTGCTCCAACTCCAGCGACACTGTTGCTCCAACGACTGCTTCTTCTCCGGCTCTGTGAAAGTTTCTTCTCTTTTCTTCTTTTTTTTCTTCTTCTTCTGTTCGACTCCTTTTTTCTCTTTTTCTTTCTATTTTTTTCACTTTCTGTTGCTCTGTTCTAGACATCTAATTTATGCTTTGTTCTTCTGCCCTATTTTTCTCTTCTTCTTTCTATTTTTTTCACTTTTTATTGCTCTGTTTTTGTTCCCTAAAACTATGCTTTGTTTTCTGGTTTATTTGGTTTTGTGCCCTAAAACTATGCTCTGTTTTCTGGTTTATGCTCTGTTTTTCTGGTTTTATTGCTCTGTTTTCTGCTCTGTTTTTCTGCTCTGTTTTTCTGCTAGTGCCACTGTTCTGGTTCGTCAAAATTAACTGCTAGTGCTTAATATGTTATTTTTAATGAGTTCTTAGCCATTTATTTATGCCTATTTTTTTTTTTTATTTATGTGTTAAATTGTGCTTCACATGAAAAAAGCGCGCGCTTCGCTTCGCGCTTCTCGCTTCGGTGAAGCGAGGCCTCGTCGCTTTTTTGCGCTTAACGCTCTCCAAAACACTGGGTACTCCATGAAACTGATGAAAAAGAAGAAGAGTGGTAATGTGGATGGGGATTTGTTTTAAAGAAGAGTAAAAGGAGAATAGGTTCGGGTGGGTTATGGGTAAGGAGTCGGGTTGGATTTTTTTAAATGTTGGGTTGGTTTAGTCTCTCAGAAGATGCCACATGTCTTGGCCGTTAAAATAAGGACAAATATAAAACTTTGATGGACGGCAGGGGTATATATGAATGGAAAGTATAACGGGGGATAGGATTGAACAATAAATAAAAGTAGAGGGATATATATGACCCTTTTCCATTTATACACATCTATAGTTTGATTAAAGAAATTCTGGAGAGAAAATAAAGTATGCTTGCAGATATCCTTGCCTATTGGATTACTATTTTGCTTAATATGCCTTAACCTAGTCAGGGAGCTGGACAATGATGTGAAAACCAAGTCCCCATACATAAGACAAGAAAAAAATGATAATCTAATCATATCCAACACAGTTAGTTTTTTCCTTTTGTCTTTGTTCTTTTCTTTTTCATGTATAGACTCTTCTTGGTTTGGATTTTGTCAGCCGATTTTATCACTTTTTCAAATTAAGTTAGTTTATCACAAGTAGTCGGTTACCACTGTTTGGAATTGCTCTGTTGACTAGTACCCACATAATAATTGATTTTACAATAGTCGTCTGTTTTAAATGATCATAATCAGATCATCATTCAAGCCAAACAGGCCGTAAAAGTAATTAGTTTGTGTCTGTCAGTTGCCTGACCACACTTTTCATGCTCTTTTACAGCTTGTTTGGATGGTCGTTACCTTTTGTATTGTATCGTATTGTTACTTTAAATACGATATTTGTTTTAGTTGTTACTTAAATTTTATAATCCCTCCGTTTCAATTTATGTGAACCCATTTGACTAGGCACGGAGTTTAAGGAAAGAGAGAAGACTTTTGAACTTGTGGTGTAAAATGAAGCACATATATTTTGTGTGGCTATAAATTATAGCATAAAGGTAAATTGTTTCCAAATAGGGAAAGAGGTCATTCTTTTTGGCACAGACTAAAAAGGAAATAGGTTCACATAAATTGAAACGGAGGGAGTATATCGTATCGTTCAATCTGTTGTTACGTAACGACGAAATGTGCCACTTTATGTAACGACCGATTTGGTGTGGTTGCGTCGTTATCTTGTCTTTTTCTCCCATCTCACCCTTCACTATTATTAAATAATTTTATTTTATCATTTACCCTACCTTTTTATATAATAAATTTACCCTGTATCATAATTTTTCTTTATAATATTACAAATTTATTTTTCATGTTGCTGGTGCATGAATATCATGAAAGAACGGTCTATCCAAACATTGTATTCATCAAACGATACAATACGATACGATACGATACGATACATTGTGAAACGATGTGTAACAACCATCCAAACAAGCTGTTAGGAAATAAATACATTTACAAGTGAAGTGCATGTTCCCTTCAAAATCAAAGGCAATGGGGTTCTTGAATGGACTCTGTTAGTTTGCTGCTCTTGATCTGCATTTAAATGCCCTGCTTTTGCTTTTAGAGAATTCAACTTTAGCATATTTCATCAGAACTTTTGCCAGTATTTCAAGACATTTTTATAATGCAATTACTTCTATAATGTTTAGTTTTGTATTTACAGGGTATCCTGATATCTAAACTAAAGAAAAAGCTGTATCATCTTTTATTTCAATTTAAAAGTTGGTCAAAGTGACTCTTCAAAAACAAAACTAGGCATTCAATTAGGGAGTATCAAAGAACTAGGCATTGAAAATTTAGCAAATTGCAGAACCGACAAACTTGAAGGGCTATGTTTCCTGTCATTGACAGTGCCTTTTATATTTTCTAATATAACATTAATGGGGCGTCTTGACAGTGTTTATGCAGAATTTTTTTGTGAAAGGCACAGTCATTTCTTTCTGTACCATCTTGGTACCATTCAATAAAATCTTTACCTTATCCAAAAAAAAAAAGGAACTTCAGCTTTTACAAATCAAGTGCTTTTCCAATATTGTAGGTTAAGTGCTGCTGAGGATGAAGATGATTCTCATGCAAACTTGCTGCGAAGGACTACAATTGGAAATGGTTGTTAATTTGCTTTTGTTCCTGATCTAATGTGTACTTTTCACTCAAAAGGGATTTTTTCCGCATCATTAATGGTCAGGTCTTCCTGAGTCAGTGGTTGATTGGACAAAGGAATTAGCCTCAGATTTGTGAAACCAGAATGCTAGCAATCAAGCGTTCTCGAGAAAGTACCGGCGGTTACTTCATTGCCAAAACGGTATGTGGATTTGATCAAGTTCTCTTCCAGTAGACTTGTTTTCTCATGCAACTGTTAGAACCAATGTTCTTTTTGTTTATTTTCTCGGTGATAGATTATCGTCATTAGTTAAGTTGTTGAACATTTACTATGTGACGTCTTCCTGGATTTTGACTTCTTTACTGATGGATGTTGCAGGGCTTCGCTTATTTGAGGAGCTTCTTGATGTTGATTTTCTAGTATGAGCTCGATGCTACGTTCTTTTCTGGCCTACACATAACATAACTTAGAATAGGGCGTTTTGAAATTTTCAATGCTTTCAATCTTAAAATAGGGCATTTCAATATGTTTTTATGATGTCTCACTTTGTTTCTGTGTAGCCAAAGAGCTGCAGTAGAGCAATGAAGGCTGCTGGGGTTGTGGAGGCTAGTTGTGAAGATATATTTGAGCTTGTAATGAGCATGGATGCAACACGTTTTGAGTGGGTGTTCAACATTGTCAATTTATTCGTAATAGTCTTCATGTTTCTCTGGTTGTTAGTTTCTGTACTTGTTAAATTGTAGGGTTGTAGATATAAAAGGGCAGTCATTTCTTAGGCGAACTTTATTCTTATTCCCATACTGAGCTTCCATAAGTAGTCCTGCCTTGGTACCTAAAGTTACTTCCTGCTTTTACTGGTTGTCTGGTACTTACTCTCTCTAACATCTCTGTTTCATTTAATCTAACATAGTTTGACTGGGAATGAGTAGCAAGTAGCCAATTTGGCTTGCATACTTGGTTGTAAGAATAAACCAAAAGGT